TACTTACGGTTTGTGATGCAGCTGCAGTCAGATCTAGTACCGCTTCATCTTTTAACAAATGCTTCTTTGTGACTCTCCATGACACTGTGCCTCGATTACAAAACAAAATACTCCGATCAAACCTCAGACACGATCCGGGACGACATTAAAAATAAACTATCCCCTTGTTCCATACGCTGGGATCCTTCTGATATCTGTACAAAGACACGACCGAGCTGTTTAAACCAAGCGTGTCAAAGCGAACGTTCTTTCACTGCATCAGTCCTGACAACAGACTCGAGCGCTGGACTGTGTCAGAAAGAGAACCGCATCTGTTTACTGTATCCAGTGCAGACAAGATAGCGACAGTGATTGTAATTTCTGTTTGCTTTTGACGCAACAAGACACTCACATTTAGCGTAATCAAGTCAGCCGTTAAGCGACTGAATGCCAGTGGGCGGGGCCTATGCTGAGAAGATGACTATTCGTCGATGTCTTGCTCTGGAGGCGTGTTTATGCAAATGTTTGTGCCCGGGTGACGTCACCCTGCCCCTCAGATCCAAACGAAAATTATTAGGAAATTAGGTTTCTCATGTCATGACCTCTTTAAATTCGAGGTGCGTGCTGAGCACCGTGGTTTTGTGTATATCCGTGCGGTGCTCCTGTTCTTCTTCCAGCAGATCTGTCGGTAATTGAAGACAAAAATCAGAGTCGTTTATTCTCTGATTCTTTGACTGGTGTGTGACAGACCTCCGTCTAAAGAAACCATCAGTTCAGTTCAGTTAATGAGACGCTAGCAGTTACTACTGAATGTGTTTCAGCTGCAGATATGGGTAATAACTGGTTCTTTCTCTGCATCTCAGGGAGGCCTGATCAACTTCGAGAAGAGAAGGAAGGTACGTCTGAACAGAAGGAACAGATCCTGACGATGATTCAAACGCGCTGATCTCGTGTTAAAGAGATAGTTCACCCAAAAATGAAAATTCTGTCATTAATTACTCACCCTCGTGTCGTTCCAAACCCGTAAGACCTTCGTTCATCTTCGGAACACAAATTAAGATATTTTTGCTCTCAGCTCTCTGATCCTCTCATAGACCGCAAGCATCCTAACACCATCAAGGCTCAGAAACGTAGCAAGGACATCGTTAAAATAATCCATGTGACATCAGGGGTTCATCTGCAATTATACGAAGCTACGAGAATACTTTTTGTGCGCAAAGAAGAAAACAAAAATAATGACTTTATTCAACAATTCGATTCCTGCGCGTCACCCTGGCGCCATTGTTAAATAAAGTCGTTATTTTTGTTCAGTCATGAGTCATTCATTCAAATGATTCGTTCAAAATGCTGATCAGGGACAAAATAAGTGACTGGCTTTACGAGCGATTCGTTCAACCATTTACTCAATCGATTCATTCAGGAATGCAACTGATTCTGTTTTTCGCTTGGGAGATTGTTGGTGAGGTGAAGATTAAAGCAAAATAACTGACAATTTGACATTTCCACACGCACAATCTGTTGGTCTGAATATTAAAACAGCACTGTTTGTGAGATATTGTTTTTACTTAACCTTTGGATTGCTTTAAATTCTGCGGGCGAAATGCAGTGATTTCAACCCACTTCTGAGGAAATGTACCGTGAGGGATGAATTTTCCTCCAGATTTAACATTGCATAATTTTGTTGAATTTGTCGCGTTTTCCTTTATAAAGCTGCTTATTTTGGAAATAACCTGTGAACGAGCATTGCTTAATTCATCACTTAATACTTTGCCCGCGAAAATTGCTCTAACGTGACGCGCCTTTAATGTTATCGGCAATTTGTCCCAACTGTATGATGTCGAATGCCATGTCCGGTACTCAACTCAAAAGGGTCAGAGAAAAGTGTGTGCTCATATTCTTTCATTTTATGATTGGGGGAAATTCAGTTCTCCAAATTCAGTGATCCGATTCATTTTTGAATCAAAGCCAGAGCAGCAAACTGTGCCAGGTGACTGTGACGGACTACCGTTTTGCAAATAGTTTTGTGTCTTTGTAGTAGAATTGAAATGATTTGCAAAGCACTTTTGCATAGCTAAGCAGTTTCCCAATGTTGTTTGTGTTTGTAGGTAACCCTCCCTCAGGCCAGAGCAGAAAGAACATGAAGCAGCGCTTCCTCAAACTTCTGCCCTGCTGTCATGTTGACTCCACACCAACTGTCAGGCAAAGCCACACACTCCTGAATGCTGTTCTGGGTTTCCTGCAGCTACAGTCAGTCGTGTAAGATCGAGCCGCTCTCTGAATCGGCCTCCAACACGCTGAGAGCCAAGAAGAGCTCAGGAATCATGAAGAGATGGAGCGAGTGAGTGCTGACCACCACATACACACTAGTTTCAGTCCTCATGAATTCTGCTGCCTGACCAAACTCCTTATTTAGGCCAAACTGTAAGGTAGCATCGCATGTATCTTCCATGGGGGGAAGGCAATCCCAGAATGCATTGGAACAAGCTCAGTGAGAAATGTTGGAAATATTCCTTCATATGATAACCATTGATGTCTTGTTGTGGAGCTGGAGTGTATTATTAGGGCTGTCGCTAACAATTATTTTGGTACTCAAGCAATCTGTCGATTATTCTGTCGATTAATCGAGTAATTATAGTGAATTTTTTGTGGTAATAAAAACATATACATATATAATAGTAATGAGGCAATAATTAGTTCAAATAAAGTATCGAAAGCAAGTAATCATGGTTTTATTGAACTAAACTTGAAGAATAGAGTTAACGTACATTACGCATTATAACAAATGACTGCAGAACGGCCTGACGATTGTTTTTACACTTTACTGCGCGATCTAATCCTTGTTTAATATTGACTAAACAACATTTAATTCAAATGTCCACTTAATCTTTAATATTTGGCCATTTCTTCACGACAGAAATGCTACAGTACTGTAATTTCTTGGATATGTGGACATAAAAATGAGTAAACTCAGAGCGAGGTTTTAAACTTTTATTTTGAAATGTTAGCAAAAAAATATATATATAGATGTATCCTCCTGTTTTACGTAGATTTATAAATGATTTACCTCACAAATCTGATGAAATGGCGCACGTTGCGTTCTCAGATGAACGTTATAATAAACCCAACCTCACAACAACATGCAGAGATGAGTTTGAGATGCCACACATGTAAATGATAACAGTTTGTGCGGAGCAGCGTTTACTGTGAACAGATCCGCTCTCACGCACATGTACATAACATATACACATGTACAGTCAAACCAAAATTTACTCAAGACACCTTCAACATTTCTCACATTATCACAGTTTATTCGCTATAGTTTAGAAAATGGTAATAAAATATGAACTCCGAGTTAAAGTGTGTCAGAACAAACTCATCTTGATAATGTCAGATAACTTTGATAGAAAGGTATGTAATGAATTCGGCTGAATAGCTGTCAGCTGTTAAATTTAAGAACATAATTAGATAAAACCAATGTAGCTCAACTAATTACCAAGCAGTGCTTAATTCTGTTCAGTCTGTGGTGTAAAAAGATCACATTAGCAATTAAAGAAAAACACTGAAGAAACACATGCTCAGCTCAAAGTGATTGAATAGTTTCTGATCCCAAATTTTACTGGTAG